ATATCTATAATAAGGAGCACCCAAAATAGTACTGGTAATTATTTAGGCCCCTACCCTAAACCCTAAGCCCTTATTGGTAATTATTCAGGCCCCTACCCTAAACCCTAAACCCTTATTGGTAAATTATTTAGGCCCCTACCCTAAGCCCTAAACCCGTATTCAGGCCCCTACAGTAATTGATGATTTAGGCTATATTCTACCATATTTATAATCAGGAACACTCAAGATGGTCCAAAGTAGTAGTGGTAACTATTTTAAGCTCCTATAAAGTAGACGAAGCCCTGCAGGGAGGACCTCCTGCAGCTGCAGGGCGGCGAGGCAAGCAAGGAGTGCCTGTGAGGATCAGAGGAGCCCAGAAATTACCCTAAACCCTAAACGCACAGCCCTCAGGTTTTACCCTAAACCCTCTAACCCTCAAACCCTCAAACCCTAAACCCTCAAACCCTAAACCCTCAACCCTCAAACCCTCAACCCTCAAACCCTAAACGCACAGCCCTCAGGTTTTACCCTCAAAACCTCAAAACCCTCAAACCCGAAACCCTAAGCCCTCAGGTGTGATGAAAGGTTGTGGGATCTTTCTGGAGGTTTCGATTGTTTGACAGGCGTTTCGGGTTTGCCGGGGGTTCGGGTAGGGGCCCTGCCATATCGGATTCAGGGGTGCGGTGAAGGGCTTGATGTAGGGGCCTTAATATTTACCAATACTATTTTGAGGGTTCCTGATTATAGTTATAGTTCTAGTAGAATGGACCCCAAAGCCCTAGTCTAATTATTAAGGCCCCTATATTGCTTAAAGCATCATGGTTGGTTGTTGTGTACGGTGATACAGGTGCCTCCCTTCGGGCGGGAGGTTCTTCCTCTTTTGGGGGCTCAACTGTCAGGGTACTTGCTCACAAGAATGCAAAACAGGGCTGTGCGGCTATCTTGCTGACTATCCCGAATTCGAATTCAGGAAGCAGGATCTATATCAAGCTTCCTGGATTTTGCCGGAACCCCTCATATTCTGGTGGGCCAAGCTGTGCTGGATTGCAGCGTCACAGCATCCAACCAGGTCGCAAGAAACAATGAAACTGTGCCAATACGTCGGATCTGATGGTAAGTTCTTCCGCTTGGTCGAACATGTTCAAACCCTAAGCCTTCACGAAAGTCTTAAACCCCTAGAAGCATAGACCACAAAACCTAACAGGATCGGCACATCGAACACTTATTATAACGACCTTAACCAAATATTATAGGGTTTGAGGGTGCGTTGTACCGTGGTTGAGGAACCCTAAAGGATACTGGCTTCTAAATATTCAGGCCGCTATACTGCATCCTATACCCTGAACCCTGACGGAATCCCTTAAATTCAAAGGGACGAGCCAGACCTCAGAACAAACCTGAACACGGAAGCTCGGACGAGAAACCCTGAACCCATAAACCTAGACCACCCAAAAGCCTAAGCCCTAATATAGGGGCCTTAATCATTGGAATAGGGTTTAGGGTATACTATACTATAATTCTAACAAGGAGCCCCCCCAAAACCCTATTCTAATTATTAAGGCCCCTCAGCCGTACAGCCCTACCAAAAGCCCAGAGTCTCCAAACCCGAAGCCCGCGCAAAACCCCCAAGACGCCACACCATCAACCCTGGACGCTTGCTGAGCCCTGTCAGTAACCATTTCTTGCCTCCCTAGACCCCAAATCCTATATAGGGTTTAGGGTTTAAGGTTTTTGTTGACCCCAAATCCTATGCCCCAAAACCCCATTTAAAAACAAAAAAAACCCAAACCCGAGCCCCAACAGAACCCTCAGCTTCTCCCCACTGCGCCGCCGGGCGGCGCCACAGGAGCGACCTGCCAGGACCGGCTCCTCCCCTGCCGGCCTCTCCACGAAATCCTTGCGCTTTGGGTCTCGATGTTGAGGGTTTAGGGTTAGGGTTTAGGGTTCAGGGTTTAGGGTTCAGGGTTTAGGGTTTAGGGTTTAGGCTTTGGGGCTTAAAGGGTTTAGGGTTTTGGGTTTAGGCTTTGGGGCTTAAAGGGTTTAGGGTTTAGGGTTCAGCGTTTAGGGTTTAGGGTTCAGGGCTGAAAGGGTTTAGTTTTTAGGCTTGAGGACTTATTGAGGGTTTAGGGGTTAGGGGATTTCGCTGTTCGGTAGAGCTGAGGGCTGATAGGGCTTGATGTAGGGGGTCTTCATGATTGCCAATGCGATTGTTAGGGGGCTCCGTACTATGATTGTAGTATAGTGGGCCCCAAAACCCTTTTCTGAATGTCAGGGGCCCCTATATTAGGGGCCGTGTAGGGTTTGGTCCGATAGATTGGGTCCGATTTAATGCTTCCGGGGTTTTAGGGCTTCGGAATCGGGGGTTTACGGATTTGAGATTAATGGGTTGCCGGGGCCAGTGTGAAAAGTTGCGGCGCCATGTCTATCTGATGTGTGCTGTTCACCCTTCGGAACTTACTGAAACGGCTTCTACTTGGAGAAGCCTAATTATTGCGGCAGCCATGTTGTCAAAGCTGTCAGTGCCTGGCGTGCTAGCACCAGTAATGTGGCGGCCCGAATAAAGGGGGGGGCCCCCCGCCCCCCCCCCCCCACCCCCGACCAAAAATGTTGGCTTGAATAGTGTGGAACCGGAGGCGCCTCTGGGTGGGCTGGCTCAGGATCTGGGTGGCTTTGATTAAATTAGAAGGGAATTGAGGGGGCCGAGGGGTTTGGGGGCTGGCTCAGGATCTGGGTGG